TGTTAGCTTGGGTTTCAGAAGTTTAAATGGATCTTTAGTCTGCTTTATCTTCACATTTCATTTGTTCCTCATTCCCCACCCCTTTTACCCTCTCACTTCCTGTCTCACCTCTCATCTTCACCCTGGTTAGTATCCCCACAGTTTTGCAGTTTTCTCATTAGTTACATTAGAGGATGTGAATAGTCCTGGATTATATTGTTGCCTTTTGTAGATCAGAAGATTTGTCCTTAGAGTAGGTCCAGTGGTTTTTTGTCAACTTTACCTGGTTGCTTGCTATTACCTAGAAGGATTAAAATAGGATCTCCTCCTCCTCCTCCATGTAACCCCAGATCCAGCTTTTAAAGCAAACAGACATTGCATATAATCAGCATTGCTTCAACAAGGTATGTATTAAAACGTATTATAACAGACCTACCTGGTAGATGATGAAGTGCCAAATAATCATTTTGACTTTTAGATTATTTTTACTATCACATTAGATGTTCTTCATTAAGCTGCAAAAACTTGGTCTAGGCTAGTATTCTAAAATATTCATAGCTTCCCAAGAATCACTTTATCCTAATTTTAGAAGAACACTGCATTAAAAGTTAAAAGGTAGTTTTTTCAAAGGTAGCAGATACAAGCACAAAAATCATGTTTATACTCAGTTGTGGGGTGGTCATCTAGAAAATCCAGAATGTATTTCTATTCAGTGTTTCTTTTTATTAGTTCATCAATGAAACAACAGTGAAAAGTTGACAAATACTTGTAAAGATTTCACACATACTCAAGAATGTTTTCTCTGGGCCCAAGTTCAAAAAGCAGTGATGTAAAGCTTTATCGATATACCAGTGTAAAATTTAGTGGAGATACCTAGAGTATGTTTGTGTTGGATCACTGTCAAATTATGAGAGGGAAAGGTGATAAAGGATCAGGCTAGCAGAGCACCTTGTAGGAACCACATGACTGAAAGATAAAGAACAAAATGAGGGATGCCTGCAATTTTTGAAAACAGAATCAACATTCTAAGGGTGATGACAAATACTCTGTGAAAAGCTACATGGATTCATCTGAGGAATGAAAGCAGACTGATAAACCCATGGCAGGTAGAAAGACAGCCAGAAAGGTTAGAGGCTTTAGTAAAAAAAACAGACTGTCAGTTATATGCTTAAAATATTTAGAAATGCAAGTATGTTACTAATATACAGAATGACAATTTGCATATGTCAAAGGGAAAATTCTATAATATGTTACCCAGGGAGATTTGCAAAACCTCTTAGGGAAGGGAACATTTCCTGCCTTTTGCCTTCAAAAAACAATCAGATTGTAGTTACTTTTTTAAAAAATTTATTTATTTTTAATTGAAGGCTAATTGCTTTACAGTATTGCATTGGTTTCTGCCAAACATCAACATGGATCAGTCATAGGTTTACCCATGTTCCTTCCCACTTGAACATCCCTCCCACCTGCCTCCCCATCTCACCCTTCTAGGTTGTTACTGAGCCCTGGTTTGAGTTCCCTGAGTCATACAACAAATTCCCATTGGCTGTCAACTTTACAAATGGTAGTATATGTTTCCATGTTACTCTCTGCATACTTCCCATCCTCTCTTTCCCCTGCCAGCTGTGTCCATGAGTCTGTTCTCAGTGTCTGTGTCTCCACTGCTGCTCTGAAAATAGGTTCATCAGTACCATCTTTGTAGATTCCATATATATGTGTTAGTATACGATAATTGTTTTTCTCTTTCTGACTTACTTCACTCTGTATAATAGGCTCTAGGTTCATCCACCTCATTAGGACTGACTCAAATGTGTTCCTTTTTATGGCTGAGTAATATTCCGTTGTATATATGTACCGCAGCTTTTTTATCCATTCATTTGTTGATGGACATCTAAGTTGCTTCCATGTCCTAGCTATTATAAATAGAGCTGCAATGAACATTGGGTTACATGTGTCTTTCCTCAGGGTATATGCCTTGTAATGAGATTGCTGGGTGATATGGTGGTTTTACTCCTAGTTTTTTAAAGAAATCTCTGTACTGTTTTGCATAGTAACTGTATCAATTTACAAGATTGTCAGTTACTTTTAAACTGACAGGACTTGGACATTTTGGATAGGGTAGATTTATGACCAGCATGAAATTTACTTTTAAGCTAGCAACTTTTGATAGCAGCTAGTAGAAAGAACTTGACCCTAAGCAAGAGAAACAGATACGGTTTCTTTTCTCATAGATTCCCACTTGTTTATGTCACTACCACCATTCCAAACTTGGGCCCCCATCCTATGTCTCATTCCTAAAGAGTTATCTTCACACTGTAAGTGTGACATTTTCCTGGTGTATTTTAATGCTTATCTCTTGATAACTCAAAGTCACTACAAGAAATAAATTTCTTATGGAAAAATAATAAAGGAAAAATAATCAGTGGAGATGCTTTCCTTTTGATCAGTACTATGACTGTGCCATTAAAACAGTACTACATTTCTTACCAATTTCATTCATCTTTACGAAATGAAAGAGGTCAATTAGGGAGGGGGTTCTGTATGTGTTCCAATTGTGTGTCATGATTGCTGTTTTTGTCTGAAGAGTGTTTAATGCTCTAGAAAATTCTGAATGGGAAACATAAGCATTTTTCAAGCACAAAACACCTTATAGTATTTAAAAACAACAACAAACTGGATGTTAAGAATGAATCTAACATGCTGAATTTGAGGTAAAAAGGAAGAAGAAAAAAATGAATTTAATATTTTAAGCATATCCATATTTTTGAATTAAGTTTTACCATCAGTGGTTTTCAACCAGTAGCAGAATCAGGAATGAGAATTTTGGTATCAAAGCCAGCCTGAGTTTTTAAGAAGTTGGGCACACTTGTCCGTTAATTTGAGTGATTTCAGTGAAGTCTTGGTTGGGATTTTATGCATTTTCTATGATGAAAAGGATGGAGTTCTTGAACAAATTAATGGCTTCAACAAGTCAGGGCGGTAAGTAGACATATCCCTCCCCAAACCAGGAAATTTTATTAGCATCCCTTTTTGATATCTACATAAATGATCATCTTTTCATAAGAACAACTAGAATACCTCTAGTTGGCAATGTTGTGTTAGTAACTACTAACCAAAACTAATTTTGTTGCTAAAAGAATACAATTTGTTCTTTCTAGTAATTTATATATATATTTTTTGATTAGTAAGATTTTATGATTATCTGACTTAAAAGATTTTGAAAAATGAAAAAATTCTCATTATCCTCATTTCTTTCTGAATTTTTAAATAGCTGCTAAAAGTGTATCCTGTTTGGTTTTATTCCTCACTTAAAATTCAGTGTTACGGATTTCTCACCTTTTCATCACAACATAAACCTAAGCTCTGGACAAACATCAGGCTGAATTTGAGAGTAGAGTATACTAACACTAGATTACAAGTCCACTTCTTCTGGATTGGTACACTGGTTTATACACATAAGACTGAAAGAGATTTATTTGGACTTAAGGTTTTCCTTCCTGCCTTTGTATCTAATAAACTATTTTTAATCTCTTTCCCAAGGTTCTCATAGAGCTGGAAATTAATGAACACTTCACATTTTCATTTGATTTTGAAGATTTTAAATTTAGAATTTAAGTTATTATTTTTTATTTAAAAATAGAATACTTGCAGTGAATTTAACATGTGCAAAGAAAGACATTTGATTTTGTTGGTAATTCAGTAAGATAACTAATGGGTACTTCAAAAATACAGGTAATAGTGAAGTTTTAGAATGAGCACTATCCTAGGCCCATCTTCTAAAAATAAAATTGCTGTCTATCTAAGAACTGTTTCTCCATGACAGTCCAGTACTAATTCTAATGATAACATTGTGTAACAGAAATGAAGGCCTATCTAAAGCTTTGTCCATCTCTGGGGCTTAATTCCTTCTTAGAAAATAAGCTGTATTTTGCACAACTTGTTATGTCTAATTTGCCATCATGTGTGTGTGTGTGTGTGTGTGTGTGTGTGTACATATATATAAAATTTCCCATTTGTGATTCTGCTAAATGGAAAACTTTGGTGGGGATTTCTCGTTAAGTAACATTAGCTGAAGGTATAGTCTCCTATCTAAACTCCTTCAAGTCATATTGATTAAGTTAGCTAAATTACTTTTAAAGGTTGACTTATATTAGTAGAGAATTCTTTATGTGTATCTTTTCTTCCCAACTACATTGTAGGACTTTATAGCAGGGACCTTCTTTTAAATTTATTTTTTTTCTCTGTATTCATTCTTAACTCTTAATTCAGCACTTTTCATCGTAGATAGTAAATACTTGGTGATTGAGTGAAATAGCTAGGAGAAAGGAAAGAAAACAATAAAGAAAAATAGAGTAAAATGGCTCTGGTAGTACATGTATTCTGATGTGATTTAAATGTTTTGTGGCTCTAATAATATACTGACTTCTATGGAGATAGCTCTGTGTCCTCTGAATAAGTTTATCAGTGATGTACTTAAATATCAGTGAGTGAAAGTTTGTTTACATTTCTTTGGGAAAAGTGTTTCTTATTATAACTTGATAACTTTTTTTAAAGTAATTTTTTAAATAAAAGTTTTAAATGTCTTATTTTTGACATTTAGTAACTTAACACAGTTGGTAATGGCATAATTGATTACATCTGAGGATGCATTGTATCTTTGATTTTCTAACATATTTCTAGTCCATGTTTTTATAGATAGTACTTACTTCAGGCGTCTATTGGCTTAACATGTGGTTTAAGTCTGAGTAAATGGAAGAATCCTCAAATTAGAGCTGTATTATACAGTAAAAACTACAAATAGCAACTTTTTAAACGTATTATTAGAAGGTCCTAGATATTAGTATAAGCTACTTTGGCTGAAGGGTGTATCATTTTTACCCTGTTGTTCGTTGCTGATGTATAATATATACTGTGATTTGAAATTGCTTTTCATCTTAATTGTGGAGTAACTTCAGATTGTATTCTACTTGTTAAAAGTACTTTAAAACATGCATATTTATAAAATCAATGTCCTTTGCCAGTGTCAGGGGGCATCACGGAAGAGCAGTTTCAGACTCATCAACAGCAGTTAGTTCAAATGCAAAGGCAGCAGCTTGCTCAGCTTCAGCAGAAACAGCAATCTCAGCATTCCTCGCAACAGACACATCCAAAAGCACAGGTAAAGCTGTCTTTGAATCATGGTTATGTCTGTTCTTTCATAATTATGTCATTTAAAAAAAAATTTTAGTCAAGTCACAGCAGATAACCTTGCTATTGCTACTCTTGGTTTTGAAGATCAAACCTGTGTCTTTTACAGTTAATTTACCTAATTTTAAGTGACCGGTTTACGTTTCATGAGAGGAGCACTAGAGCCAAAGATAGTATTTTTAATTTAGGAAAGAAATTGCTACATATTTTTAGAAAGTTCACTAAGAATTCATAGAATTAATTATATACTCTTAGAACCATCATGCTCATCCCTACTCCCCCCAAAATGTTCTTTCCAAGGATATGACCATCCCAACCCCTTCCTAAGCTGTGTATTGTGCCATTTGAATATACCCCATAAGCTGGGAGATAATTGGCTTGTGTAATTAATCCAGACAATGTAGTCCTTTGTCCATTTGAAACTCATTTCCCTGAAGAAAAAAAAAATTGCCCCTAGATGAAGTTTTCCTTAGGCACAGTTAAATGACTGACAGTAGAGACAAGACTGTATAAATAAAACACCTAGTAACAACATAATTGCTGGAAGAAAGAAGCCCTGCCAGCACCTTGAGACGAGCCTTTGAGACTCATTTTGGACTTCTGGCCTCCAGAACTGTATGAGAATAAATTTCTGTTGTTTAAACCCTGACCTAGTTTTATACAGAAGCAAAAGGAACATGACCATTAAACTTGCCTTTGTTTGCCTTTTATGAATCTCAGGTAATTTCAGCCTACTGAAAAGTTAGGCTAAGATACATTTTTACATTGGGACCAAAATGGCTGTCAGTCATCTCTGTCATTTCATTTTGCCAACAGTATCTAGATTGTCAAGTATTTTTAAAAATTTATTTATTTATTTTAAATGAAACAAAGATGAATATTTTTAATGATGAAAGGTAAAATTCACGGAGAAGATAGACATCATAAACCATTAGACACTTTAACAACAAATAAACAAAGATATTTAAAGCAAAAATCAGAAGAGATATAAGGGAAAAAGATATATAATCATAGTGAGACATATTAACGATTGTCAAGTATTTTTAAAGGCTTGGAAAAATGAATAGGACATAAAGATTTGGATTGTTTATTACCCTAGCTCTTTCTCATAAATAGTTGCTTCCCAGTTTTTAGTAACTTTCTTATTTCACAGATGAAAATGGTCTGTGAAGTCCTAGATCTCTTAACATAAACACTTGTAACTGTTCAGAATGAAAAAGGCAACAGCCTCTTGGGTTTTCTCACTTCTTTACGTGTTTGTGAACTCACATCTGAAAAGTTGAGAGTTTAACTTTGTTTACTTTATAGGGCTCAAGCACCTCTGACTGTATGTCTAAAACACTTGACTCAGCCAGCGCCCATTTTGCTGCATCTGCAGTGGTCAGTGCACCTGTTCCAAGTCGCAGTGAGGTAGCCAAGGAACAGAACACTGGCCACAACAACATAAACGGTGTTGTCCAGCCTTCAGGTAAGCCTGTCATTTCAAGTGATACTTACTAGCTCATAGTTGCAACTCAGTGATTTGAGATATGGTTCTTGATTTTTAAATCCAGAGGGGAAACATTGTACAAGAAATCAGTTAGGACTCCATAATTTCTATGGCTATGTGTGGTGGAATAGCTTGATGTTTCTAAAAGTCACAGCAAGCCTGCTCCCTGTGTCCTCCCATGCCCAGTTGATACCTACCTGTGTAAACAGTCCACCCTTCCTAGTTTTCTACATACTATCATTTGCCTCACATCTTAGCAGTCACATCAAGCTAATTGCTAACCATCATTGTTGAGTCATTTGTGCATTTATAAAAAGGAGAACTATGTTAATAGTCCAGATGGTCTGTCAGTAAGCTGGAAATTTTATTTACCGTCTCAGTCTTACACACTCACAGGCCTGCTTTCTGTGACTCCTCCTTGTGAAATACAGTGTTGCTATGAAACTATTTCTGCTTCATACTACCCTGAGTCCTCAAAGATTTACTCTTCATGTCAGCCTTTAACCTACTCAGACCCTCGGGTTTTCCACTTGCTGTTCCATGATTCTATGTTCAATGATTGTGATTGTCCTTCCTTACTGATGTTCTTGCTTGTGTAAATTGTAATAGAAGTCCAGTTTTCATCTCTACCTGCCCTCAGCCTCCAAGAGGACCTCTCTGTCCTGTTATAGAGTTTCCATATATGAAGGCAACAGAATACTTTGCAAAACTGTTTTATGCAGGCTAGTAGAAAGAGGGTATCGTTGGGGTTGTAAAGGTGAATATGTTGTTATGGATTAGAAACTCTCTTCGGAAATTTAATTAGATCACCAGTTTGCATTTCTTTTTATTTTTAAACTCCTAATCTTTTAAAGAGTTTAATTAATGTCTCATGAGGTGAATTGAACAAATTTTTTTTTTCTTCTCCTTCAGGAACCTCTAAAACATTATACTCCACCAATATGGCTTTATCATCCAGCCCAGGGATTTCAGCTGTACAACTTGTAAGGACAGTTGGCCACACCACTACAAACCACTTAATCCCAGCATTGTGCACAAGCAGTCCTCAGACACTTCCCATGAACAATTCCTGCCTGACAAACGCAGTGCACCTCAATAACGTCAGTGTTGTTTCTCCAGTCAATGTGCATATCAATACACGGACTTCAGCACCGTCGCCAACAGCCTTAAAACTTGCCACAGTTGCTGCCAGTATGGACAGAGTGCCAAAGGTTACTCCTAGCAGTGCCATCAGCAGCATAGCCAGGTGTGTGTGCCTGTGTGTGTGTGTGTGTATTTCAAGTATCATTCTGTCTCTTTCTGCTGGCTCAGATCCTATGGGAGGAAAAGACTTCCTTTTTTTTCTTTTACTGCTCAAGCCGTAGATAACTTGTCAACTGATTGACTTGCTTTTCAACAGATATTGAATATCTGCTTAGTCTAAAGCTGTGTGACTTAGATCATTTGTTTAAGGTCCCTAGTAGAATGTTTAAATGCCAATCAGAACTGTTATTTAAAAAAAAGGGGGAGGATAGTCCACATCAACTTGGGAACCTTAAACTGAAAAAATACATCAGCTATTTTAGAAGCTTGAGTTACTCTTATATTTCTTCTTTGTAGTTTAGGCAGTCTGGCAGGCTAGAGTTATTGTTAGCTTTCAGAGCTTTAATTTTCAAATCAAATTTGTATTTTTTTTAACATTATACCCAAAGGGAAAGTAAATTATTCTGTGTATATTTTAGAAGTGAGAATATCCTGGAATTAACTAAATCTATGATAACATACTTCAGATTGTTTTTTTCTTTCTATGACACTAATGCATGCAAACAGTGAATCAAAAAAATTGATCTGCATGGATTAATAACTACATGACCATAAACCTGTAAAACTGTAGTGGAAGGTAATTTAAGCAATATTGTGCTCCTAATGATTATTATTTATGAGCATCATATGCTCTGTCTATTGTAAAAAGCTTGAATTGTCCTGTTATACGTTTCATAAGTAATTTATCATTGACTGCTACTGAAATACTGTGTTAAGTCGCTATTTTTCCTAAGTAAATAATTATAATCAAGTTCATAAATTTCTTAACTGAAGAAAACCTTTCCTCATTCTTGTATGGAAATTGTAAAAATGGGAAATGTTCTTGTGCAGTATGTTTAGTTGTAATTATATAAAACGCATCTGTAACTACTAAATGATAAACATCATATTCTAGAGAGTATTAATGTTTATTTTACTCTTTGCCTTATTATAGAGAGAACCATGAACCAGAAAGATTGGGTTTAAATGGAATAGCAGAGACAACAGTAGCTATGGAAGTGACATAACCTAAAACATGTGGCTTTGACCTGTGCTGATGGTGTGCAGTCATTCATATTCCAGCTGAATGCAAAAGGCGAAACTCTGTGGATCACAGAGCATAACAATGGACCTAAATGGACTATAGTATATCGGATGTTAAATCGATATATGATGTATATTTTGTAAAATTGGGAAAATCACTACCTTGTAAAATAGTTTATTTGTATCATCAATATTATTTCTGTTACTTGAATAGTAGATATTCATCATCATGCTTTTGCACTTGAATTTGCAACTGAATGGATTTTAAAAAATAATTCTTTAATGGGATCATGAGCATGAAATGGGATCCTGCATCACTTGTTTTAACTATTTATTTTGCCATGTTTACATTTTGTATCTTATAAAAATAAATCCAACTTTGTGTCTAAAAAGTTAAAGATTCATAGCTAGGAAATGAAATTCTTGTAATTTTTTTCTAAAGGAACTGTAAAGTTTTCACTTGGTTCATTTTGTTTCACAATTTGACTAGATGGACTTTTTGGTAAATACTTTAGTGGCATTTCACTGTCAAATATGAAGTTCAAGGCAAAATAGTATTTTCTATTACTGTGCAGGGGAAAGGGATGGATCGATACATGCAAATTTAATGTAGTAACTCACTTTTCCATATATTTTGAATGTATATTTCTATTTATAATACCAGTTTATAAAAAATGATTACACAGAAAAAAAGGACTAGGAAAAATTATGCATCTAGTACATTTAAACTGTGCAGGTATGAAAATTTTTCAAGGATTACATTTTATCCGAAGACTGCATATTTTAACTGGCTTTAAAACTGTAACACACCACATAAAGGATATTTTACCAGGTATGTATTGCATTATATCATTGCAATAATTATTGGAAGTCTAGATATCGAGCCATCCCAGGTGTTGGGAGGGGGGGAGGGTTGTGGCAAGATTGTCTTTTCAATTTTGGAGAGTTTTCCTGTGGCTACAAGGCAAGTAACGGGTTGGAAAAAGTCTGACTGTAAGCGTTGGACACCTTCATAGTGTAGTGTTTTAGTGACTTTTTTTATACGGTTCTTGTATATTAGATACGTGTAGTGGTGTTTCAGAATGTTTGTTTATGCACTAGTTCAGACAACTTTCCCTGTTACTTGTTCTTGATAAGTGAAAACTGCAGGGAAATAAAAATACATATCAAACATGGACATGCTGCATATGTGTTTATTTCACAATGTGCACACAGTATAAGTGAAAATTTAAGGGAGATGATAGCACTTAACAGCACTTTTCATTTTCACAGTGCTTTCCAAGCATTAATGAAAAGAACTATAAGAAGCTCATCTGTGGGCACTATTGGGTTTCAGATAATCCAATATAAACTACCTTTGATAGGAAAAAGTTCTTAAAATATTTTGCAGAATGTAAGTAATTTGCAGTGTAACATTCATTGAAATCTCATAAGTGAGCCTCATTTTATAAATAAAAGTTTAGAATTATATTGCAAGGGGGTTTTGTCAAGTAAGTACTGGGAAATATTTTTAATGAATATGATTAAAACCATTTCAACCTACATAATTTTATACTTTACATTTTTATATCTGCAGTCCTGAAAGTTGTAAATTGATATGTCAGTTGAATTAATGGGCCAAGATTTCTGCTGAGAGTGGTTTTTATTCAGGTCCTAAATATGTAAAGCAATTATAGTCAAAACCATAGGAAAAAATAAATTTAATTTCTTCGTTGGTTGTGACCTGGTAGGATCCATGCTCGTTTCTGCCATACTACCTCTGGAGTTACTCATTGCTGATGATATAAAGAAAATAATTCTGATTTGATATGTAGTTTGACTGTATTCATTCTGCTTTTAGTTGGATGTATCTCGTTGCTATTAAGAACTCAAAACAACTTTAGTGCCAATTTCAGAAAAAAAGTTTTATTTCCATTTTACTGAAGTAAAGCATGAAATGAAGTTGCCTTGTGATATACATGTTATAAATAATATAAAACAAAAAACTGTCTACAGTTTCTGGAGATGTGGCGAATTCAGAATTCATCAAAAGCTGATAACAAGTTTTGTTTTTTAAGTAAAATAGAAAAATAGGCCTTATTTTGATGGCGTTGTAGCTGTTTCACAGGTATCATTTCTGTTACTTGCACATACATTTTTCCAATGTTTTTCAAGACTTAAGTGACAGATACTTGTTTTTACATTATCAAGTTGAAGCTTAGTTTATTTAGTTTTATTTTTTTGACTGCGCTAGGTCTTCATTGCAGCATGCAGACTTAGCCCCATGGTATACGGGATCTTAGTTCCCCAACAAGGGATCAAACCTATGTGCCCTACTTTGGAAGGCGGATTCTCAATCACTGGACCACCAGGGAAGTCCCAAGAATAGTTTATTTTTACACAGGCCCTCCACTGGACAGTACCACCATTTCTTGTTTTTTGTGATTAAACTAATACTTACAGTTTAGTAAGCTTCTGAAGTCCTTGGAATATGTTTTCTGATAGGATGAGTAATAGGTTGGTTGGTTGTTGGGTGGTTTTTTAAACAAAGTGGGTAATTCATGTGCTGGGATATCTTGTAGTTAAGTATAGGTAAAAATAGTTACAAACTGCCTTTTTCTGCTTTCCTAGAGTACCCTTCCTTTCCTGGTAATTCAAAATCATCATTATGATAATTAGATTAATTATTATGATATAGCTCTAAGTATATTTGAAGATATGTTGCATATCTTTCTTTTGCAAAAGCCCAAGGGAAAAATTAAGATATCTGGAGGGCACATCTTTAAAATATATATAGTACACACACCATTCTATTTTTTTAAAAAATATTGACTAGAGTAATTGTAACTGTGCTTAGTAGTTTTTTGTTTTTTGTTTTTTTTAATTGCAGGATTGTTTTCTTGGGGGGGCAGGGTGAAGAGTAGTAAGGAGAAATGGTATTTCAGAAATGTCTCCCTTGTATGTACTACTGTTTTTGAGTTGAATGATGCTATATTTAGAACAAATTTTATTGACCAGTAATGCACCTTTGACTGAGTTGCCCCTTAATCAACTTGGCAAACTAATACATTTCAAAGGGTTAAGGGTAGTAATTCTGCATATTATGTTCAAGATATGTTTTTCATCTTTAACCACAACATAATAACAGCAAATATTATGGAGCATGACAGTTCTCTCTCAGTGACTTTCATTTAGTCCTAACAGTTGTGTGAAGTGCTATTATTATTTTACCCATTTTACAGATCAGGAAAATGACATTTAGAGAAGTTAACTTGCCTTATGTCACAGCTGATAAGTTACTAAGCCAGGAATTAGACACGTATAGTCACCACACTTTTAACACTGGCCTCCCATCTTTAAGAAGGGTGTACCCTTCAGAGAACTACTTACTGGACTTGTTAGTCCACTTATTGGCAGTATCTGTATAGCAAAGTTTAAAATTTCATCTAGAAAACAACCTCCTCCATTCTTATACCACCCGGCAATTAATGTTTGTGTTTTGCTTCCCAGACTGAGTCCATTAGATCCACCTGTGGCTTCTAGCCATCCATCAAGCAAACCCAGCCTGTCAGTTTATACTCCTCTGCCAGACTTAGCCGGTAAGTGTGAAAGCTCTCAACCAGCACAAGGCTTTTGAAGCTGGGTCTGGGCCAGGACTTGGCTAAGTGTAGCCTTTTTTGAACCTTGGTTTCCCCATCTGTAAGATGAACAATTTCCTAAAACTCTATAAAGGAGGCCACACTGACAAGCTTGGTGCAATTGTGCATGTGGCCAGCGTGTCATTGGCTTCTCACCGAGGATGTGGGAGCTAAGGCCCAACATGCAGTTAGTCTAGAGTTTAAGTCCTCACTGTCATCAATGACTGTGAAGTATTGAAGGTTGGATTACATCATATAATGCAACTTAGCTTGTGCAGGACTAAGAATTCTAACCAACTTCTTTGACTACAAGTCTCAAAAGGGGACAAGAATTTTATTTTTGGAGGAGGCAAACTAGGGAAAACAGGACAGACTACACAGTGCAGTAGAATATCAGAATTTGTAAAAAAAAAAAAAAAAGAAAAAAAAATATCAGAATTTGTTGAGCTGGGCTTTGTTTCTCTACCATTTAATTGGCTTGTGATTTTTTCATCTTTATCTTCGTGTCTCTGAACTTGTTATCATAGGATACATGGGTGGAATTAGATGACCTGTGAAATCTCTGCCAGCTCTGATGCCATAGGAATCAAATTTCCCCCACCCCTCTTCCCTCCCTGGATGGCTCCCTTGCTTTCCATGCCATTGTCAGTACCCTTAGGCTCACCAGCACCATTCAGAAGGGTCAATACCAGATCGGACCCTGTGTGCCTTCCTACCGTGTCTCTCCTGTTAATCTGAAAGGGGAATTACTTTCTTATTTCAGCTGTGGTGGTGGTGTAGTTACCAAGTTGTGTACAGCTCTTTGTGACCCCATAAACTCTTGACCACCAAGCTCCTCTGTCCATGCGATTTCCCAGGAGAGATTACTAGAGTTAGGTTGCCATTTCCTTCTGCAGGGGATCTTTCCAACCTGGAGATCAAACCTGTGTCTCCTGCATTACGGGTGGATTCTTTACCAACTGAGCCACTAAGGAAGCTAATGCTGCAAAGCTTGACATTTTAACAGGGAAGAGGAAGGTAACACTGAGCCACATATATCTTTAGCAATAATTTACTTGACACAGGATTTTAGGTGTGGGCTGCCTCAAAATGGGAGTTCTGTGTGTACTTAAAGACGTGTTTTTATTCTCACGAAACTTGTCTGGTAATATAGTATATTTGACCAAAACCGCTTCTTCCCTGGCTGACTGAGTAGAGTAATATTGCAGGTCAAGGAGATGATAAAATATCTCTGAACATTGACTCTGCTGTGGAGTGGACACCTGTTATCCTCAGGAAAGCCTAGAATTCTGAAGTTATCTTCCACTGCTAGAACAAGAGAACTTGACTCCAATCACAAAAAAATTATTTCACCTGCAGTATATCTG